CTTGCTTGAGCAGTGGGTTGAGCTAGATGACCTCCAAGGTCCCTTCCAATTCTGTTATTCTGTTAACTTGAGTCATACCCAAATGCCTTATCAAAAGAGGAGGAGGAGGAAGAAGAGGATACAAAGATTTCCCATGCTAACTCTTAACACATGGTCTGCGGAACCATTTGGTTTTTCTGAATCCATATTTCTCATCTGATCTGAGATATTCTTTCAAACATCACCCGACTGCATCATGAAAACTGCCAACACCGCCAATGAAGGGTAATCTCTCGAAACAATAAAAGCTATATTTTTTTTTATCAATATACATTCGGTCCAACTGCTGCTCATTTTTCAATGTGATATATCCAAGCCAGCATAAACCATTTTATTACTCTTCCTTTTAGAGATGGGGTGTTTACCACCATCTCACCCTAAAAGAGTTACAACATAATGGACACGTTGCAATTCAAGCAATGACCACAAAATGCAATTTCATTACAAGCCAGATGGAAAATGGAATAGGGCCCAGTTGCAGAGAATCACATTATTTTTATCTTGCTTGGTTGCCTTCTAAAAATCCATGAGTTCCAAACATGTCCTGTAATCTCAGAGGCTTTATCTTTTAACTCTAGTAACCTGATAATATTCCATGTGTGTATATTGGATATCCTGGGGATGGTACCAACCTCAGCCCAGGAAATTAAGTTGTTTTATCTCTCTCTCTCTCTCTTTCTCCATCCCTCCCTCTCTCTCTCTCTCTCCCTCCCTCCTTCCCTCTCTCTCTCCCTCTTTTGCTCTCTCCCTCCCTCCTTCCCCCTCTCTCTATCTCTCCCTCCTTCACTCCTTCTCTCTCTCACCCTACCTCTCTCCTTCCCCCTCTCTCCCTCCCTCCTTTGCTCTCTCTCTCTCCCCCCTCCTTCCCCCCTCTCTCCCTCCCTCCTTCCCCCTCTCCCCTTCCTTCCCTCTCTCTCCCTCCCTCCTGCCCCCTCTCTCTATCTTTCCCTCTTTCCCTCCTTCTCTCTCTCACCCTCCCTCCCTCCTTCCCCCTCTCCCTCCCTCCTTTGCTCCCTCCCTCCTTTTCCCCTCTCTCCCACCTTCCTCCCCCTTTCTCCCTCCTTCCCTCTCTCTCCCTCCCTCCTTCCCCCTCTCCCTCCTTCCCTCTCTCTCTCTCTCTCTCCGTCCCTCCTCCCCCCCGTGTGTGTGTGTGTGTGTGTGTGTGTGTGTGTGTGTGAATGTGCACTGCCTTCTACTATGGCAGAATATTGTCCTACTGCAGATTAACCCTTTAAAAAGATCTCCCTGCAATAGGAATCTCGTCTGACAAGACAGAGAGAGTCCTGTTTCTTTTTTAAAAATCAAATCGGGCTGCATATCTCATAGATGTGACTATAGGGAAGTTGCAAATTTTCAGGAAGATAGATTACAGCTCCAGAAATGAAGATGAAAAAACAGTTGAAGACTTGTTTGTTACTTATTCTGTTCTGCTGCTATCAGAGCTACAGAAGGTGCCATTGAACATGATAAATGCTAGGTATGAAACAAAAGCAAACCAAGAATTTAAAACAGAAAGAACTTGCTAAGGAAGAACATTTCCTAGGTCACATCAACTCCAGTAGAGTAGAGTGGAGTGGAGTGAGGGGAATGGAACGGAACGGAACAGAACAGAACAGAACAGAACAGAACAGAACAGAACAGAACAGAACAGAACAGAATAGAATAGAATAGAATAGAATTCTTTATTGGCCAAGTGTGATTAGACACACAAGGAATTTGTCTCTGATGCAGCAACTCTCAGTGTATATGCAAAGCAGCAAAATGATGATGATGATGATGATGATGATGATGATGATGATGATGACGACAATGATGATGCTAAGACGCTGGCAGCAACCCGTATCAACTATTAGCACCAGTCAATGGTATTTGTGATGCATTTTTGAATGTTCAGTTGACTGAGTTTCATATTTAATCAATAGAGCAAATATAATAATAATAATAATAATAATAATAATAATAATAATAATAATAATACCAATAAGTGGTAGTAAACACGATAACAAGAAGGATAATAATACTACAGCCTCAGAACATGAGTAAATATATTTAGACATAAGACATTACTGGGAGGAACAGGGGTTCCGCACAAGGGAAAAACTGTCGCATTGTCTAGTTGTTTCAGCATGTAATACCTTATAGCAGAGTCCTAAGGGGAAGGGATGTGTTATTTGAGAATTGGCAAAGAATACTACCCACATCTTCTGAAAAGGGAGTCTGGCTGATTTAGAAAGGCTTCCCATTTGTTAACTGCCCGATCCAGGTAGCTTGGGGAACAGTGATCCATTTTTTGAGGAGCCACTGGGTCAGGGATGAGCTGCTGGGGGTTCACAGGGATTTGGGAGAACCTCCAGTTAAGATTCTGTGCAGTTCGGAGAACCCCCAAATCCCACTCCTAGACAGCCCCGCCCAACCTGCCCCCACCTCCCAGGAGTCCCCACACGGCCCGTTTTGGATGCAGGTAAGTGCAGGGCGCGCACAGAGGCTTGGAGAGGGTGAAAAACGGGCCCACCAGAAGTTCAGGAAGGCCGGAAAGGGGTATATTTCTGGTCTCCAGAGGGCCTCCAGAGCCTGGGGAGGCTCTTTTCACCCTCCTGGAGGCTCGAGAAAAGCTCTGGAGCCTGGGGAGGGCAAACACCCACTCACCCCATTGTGGTGCAGGAGGCCAACTAGGCCATGCCCACCATGGCTATGCCCAGCCAGCAACCAGGCAGAGAACCCCTTGCTAAAATTTTTGAAGCCCACCTCTACACTGGGTGCTAGTTGGGAATTCTGGAAGCTGATGTCCATCCATCTTAGGGTGGCCAAGGTTGAGAAACACTGCTCTAGCACAAATATATAGCAAGTACTGAATTTCTGCCAATGTTTTTCTACCTTTCTCAAAACAGAGGCGTGATGTACGAAGCTGCCAGCGTAAAGATTCCACCACAAGGATGATCAATTCCAGTTGAGTTTTTCTTACATTACTTGTGTTTACATAGGCAACTTTTTTTTTCCCCTCTGCTTCCAAAAGCTTTTATTACATTTACGGGATGTCAGCATTTCCAAGCTTCGCTGGACATGTCATCACGTGCTTAATTGTTCTTTTTAAAGTATAATCAGACAAAGCCAGGATAACCGTTTCAGCATTCAAACCACCCCTCAAAAATAATCATAACTAAACAGGCAACCTCTCTCAAACCCCAGCTTCCTAAGCAGAGGCAGTACTTTCCATCTCCTGCCTGTGGAAGAAGAATAGCGTCAGCAGAATTGCACGCAGGTGCTGACATTGCTAAAGTTTATTCACGGCCGTTATGCTGAATTTCAGCCACTCCGTTGTACTTATTATGCAGCACCGAGATTAGCAACACCCATTAACGTTGGAAATTACTCCATTTGCAATCTGGCAGGTTCCAAATTCTACAAAGGACAATGAATCTTGAGTTAGGTTTTATCTTTTTCACCTTCTCTTTATGGTTGATAGGATGTCTTTAGGTGAGACCGAAGTCTCTTTTTACATGATCCCAAAGCTATACTCCCAGCATGCCTAGAAGCATGGCCAATGTCAAGCTAAGCCCAAGAACAATTGTTGAACAAGCCAGCCAGAGTTCACTTCTGTATTTGCTTAGCCACAATAGACAGCCACAATAGACAGAATCTTGCCAGACTAAACATATATTACTCTCTCCCTGACAGATATAGCCTCATTGTGCAGATTCCAAAGGCCCACATCTCCGATATTATTTCCCGTTGTATAAATTTTTGTATTTGTAGATACCTGTTCCATTTCGTGAAACAAACAAAGCTGCATGAACCTGAAAAGTACTTGGGACTTAATAGATGTTAACAATCTAGGTGGAGAAGACATTAACATTTGGTCCATAAAATCTCTATGTATGATTTGGAACGGTGGTTTCTTCTAACTTAAACCTCTTTCCAGCCACCAAGAGGGAAATACAGTTCAACGTACATTGTCTTCCTAGTTTTGATTTCCAGGGCACAGGAGGGAAGGAAAGAAGGGAGGGAGGGAGGGAGGACAGTATAGAGATGGTATAGAAGAGAGAGAGAGAGAAAAAAATGGAGGGCAGGAAGGAGGGAGGGAGGGAGGGAGGGAGGGAAGAAGGAAGGACAGTAGACGGTATGGAAAATACAGAGAGAAAGAAAAATAGGATGAGGGAGGGAGGGACAGAAGGGGGAAGGAAGGAAGGAAATAAAGGAAGGAAATAAAGGAAGGAAGGAAGGAAGGAAGGAAGGAAGGAAGGAAGGAAGGAAGGAAGGAAGGAAGAGATAAAGACTCATGAATAAACTTCATTTTAATCCTATAATACTTGGTTTTCTCCACCTATCCAACCTGACTTTATTTATTTATTCATTTAGGTTTTCCAATCTCCCTCCAAACCCCTTGCATGGTTTGAGCATTGCCCCAAGCGATTCCTGAAAAGCCTTTTTCTTACTCACTTACTCCATTTTGAGCTCACCATTATATGACACGTCCAACAATTGTTCAACATACAAAACGGATATCTCAAGATCTCTAATGAACTTCCACAGGATCCCTTTCTGAACCTGTCCCCTGCCATTGATGACCAAATCACCATTCTGCTCATGTCAATATTTCTGAGAATATTTAGTCATCTCAAATGCACTTAGCTCCAAGCAACGCAAGAGCCATCTATCCACATATAAACTGATGAAGTTACCTAGTTTGCAAGAAAAGAGCCAAGCTCAGAGACCACCAAGGACCCCACAGTCCTCCTCCTCCTCCTCCTCCCTCAACCCCCTCCCTTTTAGTATTGATGTTGTTACCTAGTTGGGTAATGAAACATCTGCAAGAAAACAACCAAGCTCAGAGACCACTAAGGAACCCCTCACGTATAAAAAAGATGGATGAGGAAAGAGCCACAAACCAAAAGAAAATGCAAGGGGGGCCCAGGAAGAGTAGATTTAGAGTCTAATCCATTCAAAAAAATGTTTTAACTTACTGAACCATGTGGACCAGTCCTGGCGTTCGGGGTCACTTCCGCAGCATCAGATTTATGGCTCTGGAATTAAGAGAAAGAGAGGGAAGGAAGGATATGAGAAACAAATTTGACAATTCTCCTGCTTGCTTAGAACATAAAACATAGAATCACAGAACTGGAAATAAAAACAATGTTGAGATTCTAGAAAGAGTGCAGAGAAGAGCAACGAAAATGACTAGGGGACTGAAGGCTAAAACATATGAGGAACAGTTGCAGGAATTGGATATGTCTAGTTTAATGAAAAGAAGGACCAGGGGAACGTGATAGCAGTGTTCCAATATCTCAGGGGCTGCCCCAAAGAAGAGGGAGTCAAGCTATACTCCAAAGCACCTGAAGGCCAGGCAAGAAGCAAAGGATGGAAACTAATCAAGGAGAGAAATAACCTAGAACTAAGGAGAAATTTCCTGACAGTGAGAACAATAAACCAGTGGAATGACTTGCCTCCAGAAGTTGTGAGAGCTCCATCACTGGAGGTTTTTAAGAAGAAATTGGACAACAGTTTGTTTGAAATGGTATACGGCTTCCTGCTTGAGCAGAGGGCTGGAATAGAAGACCTCCAAAGTCCCTTCCAACTTTGTTATTCTGGAAGGGACCTCAGAGAACCTCCAGGCCAACCCCCAGCTCAAGGTAGGAGACTTTATATCATCTTGGTCATATGATTATTCAGTCTGTTTTTGAAAACCTCCGTTGATTGAGCATGCACAACCCCAGGAGGCAAGTGTTCTGACCCAGGCTTCCTGAGAAAGCATATATCACAATCTTAGTCCCAAAAAACCTCTTTTATTGAGACGGCTGTGAATTATGATCATTCACAGCCCATAACGATTCACAAACAGTCTGTGAAGATTCCGACAGATGTCTGCTCAAGTTGACAGAGTCTTTCAGGGTAATGTTGATAAACACCCATCTTTATCTCCCTTGAAATGCTGCCAGGGACCTAATTGTCAATTAGTTTTGCAAGGCCAAATGGAGCACCGAGTCAAATGGACTTCTCAGAGCTTGAATGGACTATGTGAACTAATTGCTTCCTGCAAAGGCTCACGTCCGTTTGCTCCTCTTTTATGTCTTACAGGAGGGGCCAATCATCTCCAAGCCTTACTCCTGAGTCACCCTTTTTTCCATTAATTGTTCTTGCCTTCTGGCAGCTCTGTCCATGCGCACACTGGGAATAGGCTCACACTGTTCTTATGCCTCGCTGATGTCAGATTCCGGAGGCTCCGGAGGCAGCACATAACTACCAGATGGCCCTGGCCCCCTCTTTGCCTCCGATGCAGAGCCCTTGTCTGAGCCTTCCCCAGACTCCAGGACTGGCCCACGTTCCTCCTCAACCTCCTCACTGTGTAAATCTGTGGCCAGCTCTGCTGGCTGCTGGTGGGCCACAACAGCAAGCTGTTCCATTGATCGATTGTCCTCGCTGTCAGGAAACTTCTCCTTATTTTTAGGTTGGATCTCTCTTTAACAAACTTCCACCTGTTACTTCTTGTCCTGCCTTCTGGGGCTTTATCCCCCTCTTCTCTGTGATGGCTTTTGAAGTATTGGAAGACAGCTATCATATCAGTCCTGAATCTTCTCTTTGTTAGGCTGAAGACACCTAGTTCCCTCCACCATTCATCATGTGGTACCAATAAAGGAGAACATTTGTAACTCAGGGTTAAAATGAGAGGTCCTTGGTGCTCTCTGAGCTTGGTTGTTTTCTTACAAATATTTCATCACCCAAACTAGGTAACATCATGAGAACTGATGATGTTACCTATTTTCGGTAATGAAACGTATGCAAGACAACATCCAAAGTTCAGAGAGCACAAAGGACCCCTCATTCATCATACAGTTTAGCCTCCAGACTCCTTATGTTCTTTGTTGCTCTTCTCTGCACTATTTCTACGGACCCGACATCTTTCCCAAGGTCTCTGATTATATCCCAGTATATGAAAATGAGGGATGTTTACAGGGGTGGGCTGCTGGGGGGTCGCAGGGATTTTGGGAGAACCTCTAGCTAAGATTCTGTGCAGTTCAGAGAACCCCCAAATCCCACTCCTGGCTGGCTCCACCCACCCCACCCTCCCCTCCCCTCCCAGGAGTCCCCACGCGACCTGTTTTGGATGCAGGTAAGTGCAGGACCCACGTGGAGGCTCTGGGAGGGCAAAAAACGGGCCTACCGGAGCCTGGGGAGGCCGTTTTCGCCCTCCTGGAGGCTCAAGGAAAGCCTCCAGAGCCCGGGAAGGACAAAAACACCCTGCCCTCCCGCCGTGGTGCAGGAAGCTGACTAGGCCACGCCCACCATGGCCACACCCACCCAGCAACCCCTTGCTAAAATTTTTGAAGCCCACCCCTGGATGTTTATCTGTTTTTTTTGGAAAGAATTAAATATCTCCTTCCACCAACTACAGCGTTAGGTAGCCAGTTACCTTATCTTTAAGAGGTAACAAACAGCTTTTTTTTTCCTTCCCTTTTTTTTTTCTTTTTAAAATAATGTTTATTTAAAATCAAGATATATTTTCAAAAAAAGATAACAACTATCAAATGACAGATAATTACTGAAGGTATACAATTAATGCTTAACAGAGCTTTACTCATACCAATACTACCAAGCAAAGCACACTGACATAAAAAAAGAAATGTACATTTTTAAGCTTAATGCCAAAGCACCTGTCTTCTTTATAAATATTTAAAAAAGAAGAAAAAAGGGGGGGAAAACCCCTCAATATAATATAAATATTTAATTTTCATGCTTTCCTCATTTACTTCAAACGTCTTTCTGCTTGGGCTGAAAAACCAAACACCTAGATCTACAAACAGCCAGTGACTCTTCAACTCGATTATATTTTTTAAAAAATACAAAAAGGAAAACATGGTTTAGCGAGAGGCATCCATTTCAGACAATCCGGTTTCCTTGTTTTGTATGGCGTTTGCCAGTAATTTGGATGAATTTAAAAGGGTATTGGTCAACTTCATGAAATATAGGGCTACCAATATCTATTTGCTATGATGATTTATTAATTTATTATACACACACACACACTTTATAAGTAACTCAAGGCAGTGAACACACCTATTACTCCTTCCATCTTCTATTATCCTCATAACAACCACCTGCGAGGTGGGTTGGGCTGAGACAGACGAATTGCCCAAAGTCAGCCAGCCAGCTTTCATACCTAAGGAAGGAATTCAGAACTAGAACTCCCAGTCTCCTGGTGATTGGCCCAAAGTCAGCCAGCCAGCTTTCATGCTGAAGGTGTGGCTAGAATTCCCAGTCTCCTGGTGATTGGCCCAAAGTCACCCAGCCAATTTTCATACCTAAGGAAGGATTTCAGAACTAGAACTCCCAGTCTCCTGGTGATTGGCCCAAAGTCACCCAGCCAGTTTTCATGCTGAAGGTGTGGCTAGAATTCCCAGTCTCCTGGTGATTGACCAAAAGTCACCCGGCCAATTTTCATACCTAAGGAAGGATTTCAGAACTAGAACTCCCAATCTCCTGGTGATTGGCCCAAAGTCACCCAGACAAATTTCATGCCTAAGGAAGGAATTCAGAACTAGAACTCCCAGTTTCCTGATGATTGGCCCAAAGTCACCCATACAACTTTCATGCCTGAAGCAGGACTAGAACTCACCATCTCCTGGTGATTGGTCCCAAATCACCCAGCTGGCTTTCATGCCTATTTTTTTATTATTATTATATATTACACATTATTTCTTGGTTACTTGCTATGTTAGGCAGCAACGCTTAAGTACCAACTGTTGGCCAATAAAATTAGAACATAGGCATGGAATCCATGCCTTTGAACTTCTTGAATGGTCTTGGTTGTCCCTTGTGGGACTATCATTGGACCTAGCCTCAGGATTCTTCTCAGGTTCTTTTGCCAGCTATCAAGGTTCCGACTAATGAACCCAACCAATTCAGTGCTCTGAGACTTTCAGCTTCCTCAAAGAACTATTTTATTGAGTACATCATTTCGGCACGGGTGAAAACAAAACGAGCTCTAAATATTTCCCATGGTTTCTGTATAATTAAAGACTAGATAATGCCCTCCCTCATTGTCACACGTCACATTGTCCAATTAGGTATTCTAGCATCTCTTTGGCAATGCCCTTCAGTCTCTGGCCAGCACCGGTTGTGATGACCTTGGTTCCCACAGGATGACCTGTTGTTGCTGTCTGGTCTGACATTCCAGAGCTCCCTCCTCCCACCAATGTGTGGCAAGCTCAGAAATGGAAAGATGGTGGCGATAGGCCTAATCCATGTCAAAGTGGACTCCAGCCCAATCACTGATGCTTTTCACTGCCCCGCAAATCTGCCATTAGCTCTCAACCTTTGAGAGCTTTGGACTTCCATTGATATCATCCCTACAACTAAGTCATTTTAGTCCTTCATCGAATTTCTTCCCTGACAGAGGAAGAACCCTAAGAGATCATTTGAGATGACCACCAAAGTCAGACACATTTTGCCTGCGTGGAGAGACGCTCAAGTCAACCGATCTGCTGGTAAATCACTTACTACCAAAAATATGACTTATTTTTGGCCAACAAGAAAGCCAAGAAAGTGACTTCTTTCTGGCAGTTTAAAATTTGATCTAGACACAGAAAGAAGGAGGAGGAGGAGGAGGAAGAAGAAGAAGAGGAGGAGGAGGAAGGAGGAAAAAGAAGGAGGAGAAGGAAGAAGAAGAGGAGGAGGAAGAAGAGGAGGAGGAGGAGGAAGGAAGGGGAGGAGGAGGAGGAGGAGGAGGAGGAGGAGGAGGAGGAGGAGGAGGAGGAGGAGAAGAAGAAGAAGAAGAAGAAGAATAAGAAGAAGAAGAAGAAGAAGAAGAAGAAGAAGAAGAAGAAGAAGAAGAAGAAGAAGCCACATTTTGCCACTTTTGTGAATTAGCTGTGGTTTATTCAATTAATCTTGGCTAAATAAATTTTGCCTTTGTGCTCTATGTCTCTCCTATCGGAGACTTAAACCTGACATCTGGAATGAGCTCCCCCCGGAGGATCCCGGATCTACGCACCTTCCACCGTGCTCTCAAGATCTTTTTATTCCATCA